ACTGTCAAACACACACTTTGGTCCTTAAGGGCCTTTTAAAGATGGAATATTCAAGAAGGACACTTGCTAGTATGGTCAAACTCTCTACTGCTACGTATATTTGAGTTTACTCTGATGTTGTCCCAACAGGTGTACCACTAATGGCATTACAAGTATGCTTTTTTCTGTTATCATCGGGGTGACTAAGCCTTCACTTGCTCCATGTTTACTCACAGGCTTGCTCACAGGTTTAATGGAGAGTAGTAAGGTTGAAAAAAACTTAAAAGCAGACACCCCCACTTGAGTTGTTACTCTAACTAGCCAAATCTGCAAGCAGTACCATGGTCAGTACCCCATGTGAGCGGAATATACTCTACAGTTTACAGCAAAAAAAAATCTCAGCAACCATAGTCAGAAAAGCAAGCTGTAGGACACACTGCACAGATGAACAACTCCCCCTCAAAACTAGTACTTTCCAAATCATGTGAAGTTTTATATGGAAACCTGCTTTGGTTCTGTGCACAGGTTAGCATTTGAAAAGTTGTGCTGAGATATGGCCAAGCTTTCAGAGATACACCTAGAAATATGAGAACTTTTGTAGACCAAGTTCCATTTATTTAAGAAGGGCATCTCTAAAAAGGGAACACTGGCACTTACTATGGTCAGCAAGGGAGGCCAAATGATTGGGTGCCCACCGCCTCAACATAAGAACATAAGAGAAGCCAATATTGGATCAGGCCAATGGCCCATTCAGTCCAATACTCTGTCACACAGTGGTCAAAAATACCAGGTGCCATCAGGAGGTCCAGCAGTGGGGCCAGGACACGAGAAGCCCTCCCACTGTTGCCCCCTCCAGGCACCATGAATACAGTGCATCCCTTGCCCCAGAGTGAAAGTTCCTGTCTATACCTTGGGGCTAATAGCCACTGATGGACTTCTGCTCCATATGCTTATCTAATTCCCTCTTGAAGCTGTCCATGCTTGTAGCCGCTGCCACCTCCTGTGGCAGTGAATTCCATGTGTTAATCACTCTTTGGGTGAAGAAGTACTTCCTTTTATCTGTTCTAACCCAACTGCTCAGCAATTTCATTGAGTGCCCATGAGTTCTTGTATTGTGAGAAAGGGAGAAAAGTACTTCTTTCTCTACCTGCTCTATCCCATGCATAATCTTATAAACCTCAATCATGTCAGCCCTCAGCTGTCGTTTCTCCAAGCTAAAGAGCCCCAAGCGTTTTAACCTTTCTTCATAGGGAAAGTGTTCCAACCCTTTGATCATTCTAGTTGACCTTTTCTGCACCTTTTCCAATGCTATAATATCCTTTTTGAGGTGTGGTGACCAGAACTGCACACAGTACTCCAAATGAGGTTGCACCATTGATTTATACAGGGGCATTGTGATACTAGCTGATTTGTTTTCAGTTCCCTTCCTAATAATCCCCAGCATTGCGTGTTGAGGCTGAAGGAGATTTCCATTTGGAAGCAATTGGAAGGCTGGTCCTGCATTGAGCAAGGGGTTGGACAAGATTGTCTGTATGGCCCCTTCCAACTCTATGATTCTGTGAGCTCTTTGCTGCAACCAGGAAACTGGTAATCACGTCTGATCCTCGGGATGTCAACATCAAGCCAAATATCCAAAAATATTTGTCCTGGTAAAAACGGGATAGAGTGACCTGTAATAAGTTGTATTTGCAGCAAGATGTCTTGCCAGAAGTCAGATATAGCTTTGCATTGCCACCAACAGTGGGCAAAAAAACCCAACTCCGCACAGTTCTTCCAGAAGGAGAGGGACTGATTTGATGTTATTGTGGCAAGTTTTTCTGGGGTAAGGTACCATCTGGTGAGAGTTGCAGCATCTCATTGTTTAGAAACTTATTCTTGGCCATTTGTGATTCCATAAGAAGGAGTTGAAGACGCATTGCCACTCTTTCAGCATATTGACAGGTATCACAATGGGTGGGGTGTGAAATAGGAACAATAATTTGGGAAATGCAAAAGACTTGACCAAGTGCAGCCTATCAAGAAGTGATAAGTTCAGTTTGTTCCATTTATGCAGGTCTGATTTGATGTCTTGAACTCTGGCAATGTAATTAATCTTTAATAGGTTTGTCAGTTTTTGAGGTATATGGATTCCAAGGTAGGGTAGGAACTTAGTGACCCATTGGTATCTGTAATTTTCTTGGAT